CTCCAAGGGGCGTGTAACTGGTGCCTGAGTCGCCGTAGTGACCACCTCGCTCCTGGTAATATCCGGACCCTCCCGAACCCTGCAGAAGGAACACCCAGACAGTTAATAACACATTTATGAGTCACAAGCTATATGAGTCATTAATAAAGTGACTCAGTGACAGGTGAGTCATTACTAAGGTGACTCAATAATAATACTAGTGACAGTCTCGGTTATTAGAGTAAATATTGAGTCGGTAACAGGTGAGTGACTCAGAAATAGGAGTGAGTCAAAGTTCCCTCTTATTCATTACACCACAGTGATGGATAATGTTGCTACGTGTGCCAGTGTGGATGTGGGCCGCCTGTAGAGACAAAGTTATACACTATTGTATAATGTATTTGTTAAAGTTCCCAGAGATGTATAAGATGTAGAAAGAATATAATAACAAGGGATAATAATGTTTAAGATTGTGTATTGATGAGAAGGGGAGTTACCGTCGTTAACAATAGGTGCGGCTGGAACAATTAAATACTCGGCACTTGGTCAAAGGTTCTACGGCCATGCTGGTTGAGGAGTCACGAGTATGGCGACTCAAATAGTGAGTCAGTAATAGACAATGAAGTCAGTATGCTATATATAGTCATGTGTGCTAAAGACAATGTCACTAACACTGAGTTAAATAAATAAACTTAAAATTATAACAACATGTTGCTTAAGTCTTAACGACCTTACAATATCACCAAGTTAAACCCATAAACCTAAGTCTAAGGTAACTTAAAACACCTTAAATAACTTAAAGATCATAGAAGTAATTCATAAGCATCAGTGCATAGAGAACATAAAACACCTCATTACTTATTTATATATACTGTATGGATATATATATAAACCTGATGCCCTGAATAACTTAAACCAGATCGTCACTACATTATACGGACACAGTGAGAGCCTCAGCAGCCAGACGCAAGTATTAAAACAGTGTTGTGCCTAGCGAGAGGCTCCTCCATTAAGGGGTGTCACACACGCTCACAACGCCACACATCAACACCAAAATGTAAGCAAAAAACATCACAACATGAAGGTATTTAGAGCATCGTCTCGTCTAGTTAGAGCCAAGAACATTGTAAAGGATTTCTGAATCATATGATGGATTGTGATCCCTTATAATACAAAGATTATATGTTCTAATAGGTGTGTGTGTGTATACATATGTATTTCTTTATGTATTTTGTATGTGTATGAATGAAAGATATCATTGATGAATCTGCAGAAACATGATGGAATTGACTAAAAAGCTATAAGAGACGGATTGAAACTGCGTGATATAATTGCTCAGAATTTGTATAGAGCGAATCTTGTATTGGGAGATAGAACAGTTCTAGGTGAAAGGTGGACGACGTCAAAGGTTTGTTCTGTCCCCATGATTGTTCAGCTGTAGTGAAAGGTGAAAGCGAGGGTGATGGACAGAGAGAGAGAGAGAGAGAGCAAATTTGATTAGCTGGGATTGGGATAAGGAGTGCAGATTGGAGGGAGGTGAGTCAAGCTGATGGCGGGTGATTTCAGAGCAGAAGTGAAAGACTGTGTGTGTGTGTGGTAGGAGAGGTTAATGGTGGATCGTCGACATAAATAAAAATATGACACTAGAGGAGGAACAATGGTAAAGGTGGAGAGGTGTCCGAGAAGGAATGTGGCGCTAAATACAGAATAATTGGACACTTTTTACATTATTCTAGTAACGTTGGGCTGAAGTAATCCACCAGAATATATTATTGGAGAGAAGGAGTGGCTAGATGCGGTCAAGCTGGGTCGTGTAGGCTTGACGGAGGCAGGTTAGATAGTAAACCCCGGACGCTAACCAGCCAAATAGGGCAGGATAGGTGTAGGCAGGCTAGATGAAGTAGGCCGTACACAGGCTGCGGAGAAGAGAGGTCACGCCCCCCCCCCTCCCACCTCCCCCCACCTAGGCTTATACTAAGCCTACCCAACACCACATCCTCGAAGTGGCTGGTTCTCAAGGTAATAAAACGCCTCACCTACAAGACATTTAAACCTACTTAACTGAGGGAGTCTACTGGGTGAGAGGGGGGGGGGAGGGAGATTCAGATTTAGAGTCAAATTCAGAACTATATTTAGAGTCTGAGTTAGAATTCGAGTCGGATTCAGATTCGAAGTTAGACTGCATTAGATTCAATTTCATAATCAGATTTAAAGTGAAATTTCATATTCGAAGTCACATTTATATACCAAGTCAGATTTAGAGTGGGGCTCAGTGTCATGATCCAAGAGGCCTAAGCACCTCCTACACTCGGCCATCGAAACAGCCTCAACACAAGTCATTAAGGAACACATTTCTTCAGAGCGTCTGTGACCATTGTGATAATATTTCCAGACTGTTCACTAAATTCTAATTACAAAGGATAGTAATAAATGAGGATATCGCCCCAGCCTTGGTCGGTATGTTGATTTATTTACACAGATTCACATACGGTTTTGTTCTTGAGTATAAGTGAACAGTTTTAAAAATACACGCAAACGCACTCACACGCACGCATACGCACACACACACGGAGACGCTCGCCAGGTACTCTTGACAGCCGGAAGTGGTGGTCGTCCCGTGGGGTGTGTGGTCACCCACCCCAGAAAGGAGGTGAGGAAGGGGAAGGAGGAGTCTGGGTAGGTGAAGGACGGAAGGGAAGGGAGAGATTGAGTAGCAAAGGGAGGGGGGGGAGGGAGACTGGGTAGCAAAGGGAGGGAGGGAGGGAGGAAGGGAGACTTGCTAGCAGAGAGTATCTAACAGAACACTAGAACGAATCAAGCCAGAACTCGTATAAAGACTCCCACCACACAACAACAACGACCATAGATGTTCCTCAGAAGTTACCAAACACTCGAGCAGTCCATCACCACCTCCGATCTTGGCGGCCAGGCAATAGACCACCTCCCTGGACCAGCATCCGATAGTCAGGTCGGCGGAGTATGATATATGACCTTCAAAACACTCGTAGATGGGATAGTGTCGAGTGTCTAGTGCCAGTGCCGCCAAAATGAGCAGCCGATCAGACAAACAGCACTATAATCACCCACAATAACTAGCCCAATGCAGAATAGCACTGTACCTACTTTTAAACCTCTTCAATTTCCGATCTATTAACTCTCTTCCTCTTCTAATCTTCTTATACCTCCTCTTTCTCTGTAAAATAGAGGAATTTTGAGAAAGAAGAAGAGGAGGGATCTTAGTGTAGACAAAAGAAGAGGGAGGAAGAGGTCTAGTGTGAGGGGGTGCGGAAGAGGATGGGGATGAGAGGTTTAGTGAAGGCTGGAGAGAGAGAGAGAGAGAGAGAGAGAGAGAGAGAGAGAGAGAGAGAGAGATATTTTGTTTAGTCCTTAGATAATTCCCCACTAATTGAATCCCCACAGGGTAACTCCCCACCACATAAATCCCCAGTTTTACCCCTCAACATATCAGACGATGGAGCGAGAGAACCCAAGCAGGTTGAGGAGCGCCAAACTGTCATGTTTTGCAGGCGGGGAAGCGTGGCCACAACACCTATCACACACCCGAGGTTTTTAATTGGATCTCTCGAGCCTCCTGAAGAAGTGGCTGACGGAGGAGAAGAAGGAAGAGGAGGTTTTCTGTGATGTTTACTTAACTAGTGTTACTGTAGACTTGATTTTTGGACGTTCCCTTTTGTATTTTTCTCTGTGTTTTCCTGTGATATTACTCTTTCATTGTATACTTCACGTGATCATCAGAGTTTCTGCCTTTGAGCTGTTTCTCTGACGATCTTCTCTGAATGTCACCTCCCTCACCCTCTCTCTCCCTCCCTCCCTCACCCTCCCTCCCTCACCCTCCCTCCCTCCCTCCCTCACCCTCTCCCTCCTTCTCTCACCCCCTACCACCCTCACTCTCCACCACCCGGCATCTCCTCTTTTTGGGGCGCGTTGTGATCCATCTACGTGAGCTGTTGGGTTCGTCTTCCGCCATGATGGAGTGTATGAGTGTTTTTGTTGACTCTATCAGCTGGTGGGGACAGTGTGTGGACAACCTGAAGCACTAATGTGTATATTTATCCCTCCAGTCTGTGTCTTGTGTTGAGAGGACTACCACGACTATGGGCAATATACTGACTTAATCATTCCTCATAGACTATACTGACTTAATCATTCCTCATAGACTATACTGACTTAATCATTCCTCATAGACTATACTGACTTAATCATTCTTCATAGACTACACTGACTTATCATTCCTCATAGACTATACTAACTTAAATAAACTTTTATATCAAGAGGCTGTCACGACTACACTGAGGGCTGTGACGTGTTGTACAATTATCATCAATACAAATCCAGTTTATTTAGAGATGCCAATTATTACCTGAGTTAAATGTTATCAGTAAGGATCCAACGAGATAGATAAGACTGATAAAAGACTGATTCTCTGATTGGTATGGTTGTAATCAGGAAATTCGGTGGTGCTTGTTGTGGTCGCGTCTCCTGTTGGGTATATATCGTGTCAGGGCCGGGTTGTCAGGGGTTCGTTGGTGAAAACATATCAGGGGATCTATCTGTTGGCGTTAAGGATTCTCTATTTTGATCTTACTATTTCATAACAGATGCTAAGTGAACGTATTTAAAATTGAGTTTCATTGTTCGTTATAGTTGAGTCTCAGTGTTCGCTAAAGTCACGTCACAGTGTTCGCTAAAGTCAAGTCTCAGTGTTCGCTAAGGTTGAGTCTCAGTGTTCGCTAAAGTCAAGTCTCAGTGTTCGTTAAAGTCAAGTCTCAGTGTTCGCTATTTACACTCATTCCTATAATCTCACTTGGCAGTATGTGAATCCGTGACCAAGAGGACGTCGCCTTGTTTATATACAGGGGAGGGGGACAGGTCGCAGGTCAATTTGTCAGGTCACTTGGCTTGTGTCAATAGCGGCGCTGAGCTCACCAAGGGTCAAGGGAGTAACATGACCTGACCACAGCCATGAGCCAGGTCAAGGTTTGCTCCACCTACTTCCGCCACGTGGACGACGAGGACAATAGAGGAGGTGACGATGGAGACGATGATAACGGGAGGACTTGGTAACACGACCCTTCATTC